TGGCAAATCTTACTTCTTAACTTTCACCGCACCCATGAAACCATCATAACTCAAAGAAAATTTCCCAAACTTGGAAGGCTCATTCATGAAAGCAACTAGTCATTTACTTAATGCGTGGCCGCTTGATCCTGATTAACACCGCTCGTGATGAAAAAATCCATCTTCACAGACAATGCACAAAGTGACATCTCAGACTGGCATAACTTCACTCGCTAGTAACATCCGGCGTGTCAGCCTTCTGTCATGGTATAGTTCTCTCGATTAACCCGATTTAATCGATCTAATTCAGTTCCAAATAAATTCTTAATTCAAGATCAAGATGCAAGTGTTGGACTTGACGAGGTCCAACCATTTACGTGGCTTATCAGGTATATTATTTAACATTTGACACAAACCCAATTTAATTAAATATATTATAGGTCATACATTTGCGACATCCAATTAGGCATATCTTAAACCTTGATTGACGATTGAGATTTGGCAGCGTTAGGGTTGGTCCCATCACTCCCTCTATATAAGGTCTATTTTTGGTGGAGAATGAATGCATCTAATTATCACGCTTCCGCTATTTTCCACAAAAATTGTTGAGAGAAAAATACACACCCATCACAATCGTTATAGAGGAGAGTGGTAAAGATTCATACCCACGGAGACAGCTTCTTTCTCATTGGATCAATAATGGTTTCCTTTGATTCAGGTATGCTATATTTATCAATTTAATCTCATGTTTATGTGATTGAAAAATCCTATTAATCTAACATGAGGTATCAGAGCTATGATTTATTCAATGCATGAACATGGTTATAAGGTTTTTTGAGTTTGTATTAACAAAACGTCTGAGATCGATAAATACTATCGTAAATTCTGATTATCGTTCTGTGATCTGTTAATTGGATGACCTAATTCTGCGTTATCCCTTCTCTTTTATTCGGCACACATGCATTTGGAAAGCGAGTATTGTTAATGGCGTGAATGTGTTGGCATCGTATGTGATTATTTTCTCAAAAAAGTTGCTTATATTCATTTAACGATTGTATTATGTTAAACCTTCCAAGGACGACTCCATGATGTCGAATAAATTTCATTTCTTTATTTATTATTGCGGTTCTAAACTATTTATGTAGTAATCGGCCCAACCAAAGATTATTGTTTTAAATAGATTTAGATTATGATAAAAACCGTCTCATGTTATGCTCATGATTAAATTCGTAACTGGCCCAACGGAAAGTTAAGATATTTAATTTTGAGTATAATGGTAATCTGATAAGCAAATAAATTGTTGATACGTGAATAGAATTAATTCTGCCCAATGGTGATTTAATTTGATTTATTCTTGCCTTATGAAATTTGCTGGTAAATTATGAAAGAATCCTTTTAAAGTGTTTATAGTAAGCCAAACGGAAGGTTATAGACGATTCTTTGATTTCTTTTGGTAAGGTTTTGTGTATTTTACCTTTTCATGTAAATGAACTGTTTATTTTTCAGTTTATTGTGATGATGAATTAAATCATTTTATTTATTTTTGTGGATTTCCTAAATGTAGTAATGTGCATGAATTTAATTTTTCTGATCTAACATACAATCCTACTATTATTACGAGTTATCTTTACTCTATTGAACAACTGAGTGGTACAAATTTTAAGAAATGGAAAGAGTAAATAAGTCTCATTCTTGGGGTCATGCATTTGAACTATGCATTATGGGTCGACGCTCCCACTGAACTCACGGCTGAAAGCTCAAATGAGCAGAAAGGACCAATCAATCTTCAATAAACAGATCGACTCATCACACAATCCCAAACTCATCAAAGCCTTCTCCACCTCCTCCGGAATGCTCAAAGGCGAAAGAAAACAGAACAAAGAAAAATCGCATATGACGACAAGAGCCATCGAACTCAATCTAAACGCAGCCAATTAATTTAGATTTACCGAATTTCAGTCGAGGGAGTCGTCTCAAAGCCAATCCAAAATTCTCCAAGCAAAAACAAACGAACAAGCTTCAAGCAGACCGGATCTCAGAGATTCAATTCCCTAGTAAAAAAACGACCCGAAACTCTAAACCCGTCGAAGCTCACCTAAATGAAACCGATGACCACGTTGAAGCTTGGCCCACAACCGATCCCCATCGTCGCCCTTGACGACCTCGAGGCAAATGGAGCACGACCCGCCTCCGCCGTGGCCATCGTGGACAGTCACGGCATCTTCGCCCTTCAACCCCATAATCTTGAGGAAAAACCAATCAATCTCCCGGAACAATTCAAGCGAAAGTAGACCCTCCCCGGCCTGCGATTTCGCGCAAGCGATAGTCGGATCGAACGAGGGCGAGAGGAGGAGGAGGATGCCGATGATGAATCGATTCGAGTACAGAGAAGCGGAAGAACATGGAAGACTGAAGGAGGAAGCAGGTTGTCTGAATTCGAATATGTTACCGTTGTCCCGTCCGGGACAGGTGGACGGCTGCGATTGCTTGATTGTTGGCCCGGTCTCTCTCTTCTTCTTCTTCTTCTTCTTCTTCTTCTTCTTTTCTTTTTTTCCTATTTATAGTATTTGTGCTTATTTAAGCAATCCATTCCAAAATAATTTATGTATTTTGACGCCCCGAACATAATCGAAATTTAAGAAACTAAATTAATTGTCCGAAAAAAGTTATTAACGTAATTCAAGAACAGTGATAAGGGCAAATTTTCATGCCGCGCATGTAAGGCGAGATGAGGATGGATGTGATCAGCATCGTCGAACAACCCGACTCTGCCTCGCAATATTTTATTTTGTAGATTTCTAGTCCTAATTCTTTTATATGAAGTATGGTGTAAGTCATTGCTAGAATTCCTTTTTAGGATGAAGAGTCATATCTTTTCAAAAGTAATTGCTCCGTTCGTTTGACGGAAAATGTGGCATTTTTGGAAAATGTTTTCCGGGACTTCATTTTCCGATGTTCGGCTAAAATCTAAAAAAGTCTTGGAAAATATTTTCCGTTGTTCGATATAGAAATGATTTTCCTTCTTGCAATACTTTTAATATTTTTAATTTTTTCTTTTTTTTTTTCGTTTTCTTTTGCTTCTTCCCCGGCAGGTCGCCGGCGACGACTGCGGCCGGCGGCCGGCGACCGGCCGGAGGCGAGCTCGAGCATCGCCCCAGGCCGGCGAGGCTTGAGCTCGCCAAATTCCGGCAAGGTCGAGCCTCGCCGGCCTGTGGCGACGCTCCGCCTCCGACCTCGCCAGATCCGGCGAGGCCGGCGAGTCCGACCTCGCCAGATCCGGCTACCTGGGCGAGGCTCAAGCCTCGCCGATGTCTGGCGACCTCGGGCAAGGCTCGAGGTCGCCGGATCTAGCGAGGCCCAAGTCGCCGCTGGCGATCAAGCAGCCCGAGGAGCCTCGCCCACGAACAAGAAGAAGAAGAACCCACGAACAGCAACACCAGAATACGAAGAAGAAGAAGAACCCACGATTCCCCCCTCTCTCTCTCTCTCCCCCACGAACAGCAACACCAGAAAACAAAAGAATCAAAGCATCAGTGGATCCGGCGACCTCGAGCCTCGCCCAGGTCGCCGGATTTGGTGAGGTTGGAGCTCGCCGACCTCGGGCGAGGCTCGAGACTCGCTCGACGTCACCAGACGGCGGCGAGGCCTAGGTCGCCTGAGGCCGGCGAGCTCGGGCCTCGCCACTGGCCGGTCGCCGGCCACAGCGCTGAGGAAAGAGACGAACGAAAAAAAAGAAAAAAAAATAGTGAAGAAGAAGAAGAAGTTCCGGAAAATGACTTCCGCTTTTGAGAAGCGGAAGTCATTTTCCACAGACTTAGGCTATTTTGTGAGAGGGGGAAGAAAAATGTTTTCCCAAGGAAAACCGCCCCACGAACACCGGAAAATCCGGAAAATATTTTCCCGGGCACGAACAGAGCCTAAGAGTCACATTTTTTCATAACCAAGAGTTGCATATTCTCTTAACCAAAAGCCACTAACAAAATTCACGTCTGAAACTAAACGCTTCCATCCCTAGCCCCTTGAGTAGACGGGGAATTGAACTCCCCACCTCCTCCTTCGCCAAGTGCACTTTTAGTGGAAATGGTTAATTAACATCTTTCCTTTAACTTTACCATTTTATCCTTTTTCGTTGGTCATTTTACATTTATTTTCCTCTTTAAAGTTAAAATGTACTACAATATTAAAGTAATATGTATATGATGGCAAAATGGGTAATAAAAAAAAGTGAGATACAAAGGTGTTTTGGCATATATATATATATATACATACTTAAATGTCCTAGGCTTTACAAAAATCAACAGAAAACCCTAAATATTTTCCAAATGTTCCTCACCTCTGTCTTTGCCTCAACCGTGTATCATCAACCTCGTTCTCATTCTTGCATCTCGCTCATTCCCTGCCCACCGTCGGCCGACTACGTACTCCTTGGCAATCGGCGCAGCCATCCTCAGGTCACTGTCCATCTCTCATGGTCGCTCATCTCAAATGATATTCTATGTTGCATGAGGTTGATGACCTCGGATTCCAAGTGACGACCTCGAATTGGGAGGCTGTAGCCTTAAATGCACACCCGAGATTTAGGGGAAAGCATTGGCAGAGGGGAAGAAAAGTTCGATTTTGTTAACGAGTATTCGACGAGACAGTCCACTGAAATTTTCTTCATGGCTTTCAGCCTTTCCATAGAGTAATCTCTATTGCATTAAGGTTCTATTATTTCTCAAAAAAACGAATGATTTGAAAAGTAATTTTCTTTTAAAAATATTACTCATATCCCTTAATACAATTAATTAATAGAAAATATTTTAATTATCAATAACAATTTACATTAAAATACATTTTGTGAAATGAAAAAAAATATTATTTATTTATTTTTGTAAGCAATATAATTTCTCATCGTTTTTTTTAAGAAAAACTTATTCTGAATTATTAATTTTTGCGGAAATAAATAGATTGCGAAAAGTAAACCATTGAAAGTCAAACCTCCCCACCCGTCGTTCTTCCTTTCGCTTTTTGGCCCCCCAACGAACAGCAGCTCCGAGCGACGACCCCTCTCAACTTTTTCTTTTCCTGCGCGAGAAACCAAGCAGCAACTTTCCCGAGAAAATCACACACTCGTCCTAGAAAATGGACCGGACGTCCTGACGCTCGAGCCCTAATCCCCGCCGGCCGCCCGGAGGACGATGAGGTCGACCCATGACGTGTCCTCGAAACGCCGCATCCAATCTCGATCTCTAGCCGCCGCCGCCGCCGATGGAAACGAGACCGACCGCCGCTCGGGAGCCCAGGGAGACCGATCCGCCATCGCCGCCCACCGGGGCGGCGTTGATCGAGTGGGAAGATTTCGAGCCGGAGCTCGCCCGGCTCGTGAGCCTCTCCTGCGCCCTCGAAGAAGCTAAGGAGAAGAAGCGGGTGCTTCAGCGGAAGCTCGAGTCGCTGATTCAGGTATGGCTTTGACGGCGATGTCGAAGATTGAATGGCTTGCCGTCGAGCTTTTGAGTGATCGGATTTGCTTTCTTGACGATACGACCTCTGGTTATGGCGAATTTAGTTCAGTTTTGGTCTTTGCATCGGACGAGATTCGATCGTCTCAGCTTCGCTAGCGAAATTTCGATTCTTTGTGTCGCGTGAACGGGGATGCGATTATTATGTTGGCTAAGAGGTTAAGAATCTCCGAGAGAGCTTACCGCTCAGGTCCTTGGATGGGAAAGGATTGGTGGTTCCCTTGTGGAGAAATTTATGTGGCATGAAGTTTTTAATTTGATTGCATTGGCTGTTTCTGGAGATTGGTTTGTGTTCATGCATGCGGTTGATTTTTGCGTCAAGCTTTGATTGAATAGCCCGCGTGCTAGCGGGTGGAAACATATTTGGCAGGTTAAAAACGAGTCCTTGAGAAGAATGAATGAGCTTGAGGAAATGCGGGAAAAAGTGGAAGGTAGAAAGCTAGTGATGCAGAACTTGTCGTTGCGTACGAAGGTTGTTGTGGAAGACGCTAAAAGGAAAGAGGAAGATCTTGCAGCTGAAGTTAGGTCATTGTTAGTTGCAGGCACAGCTCTTTCGGTTGCCCGGAAACGACTGCAGGTGCCACTTTCTACTGCTGCTTTACTATATTGTCTCGTGCTTGAGTCTTTTGTTCAGAATTTGTAGGTTAAAAAAATTATAGGCTTTTTTGAGTCTTTATAAAAATGCTTTTTTAGTTGTCCTGATCCTGTACTTCAAAATACCAAGGAAGTGAATTTTACTATTCTTCAAAGCCTCTGCTGGAATACTTTGAAATGCCGGTGTTTCCTCCTGAAAGATTCTGTAAAGGGTTTACATATTTTCCATCATCTTGAGTTTAGAGGTTCCCACACTGCAGTTCTATGTTCTAGCTGACTTTGGTGTGTATTTAATACCTTTCTGGATATTTATCATATTAGGAGATGGTTCCTGGAATTTCTTCTTTGATTTTCTTTGTGGCTTCTAAGATCAATTGCAGCCTGCCTGCATACTCCCTGGACTATACAATGTGGCTTTTTTCTGATATCTCTCTTACTCCTGTGGTTTTTCTTTTCTTTGGAAACATCTATTGTTTGAACCTATGTATCCAATGTGGTCGAAGAGTGCTGCATAGTCTGGCCTCAGTTTTATCTATTCTATCCTGTCTATTTTGGGCTCATCCTTTGCTGCTTTGCAGATATATTCTGATAAACATGTAGATTCATTCTCTTCGTTCATCCGTTATACAGGCTTAGTCTGATTCAGCATGTCTATTGTAGTAAGTTTGACTTGTCAATATTTATTAAATGAGGAGGTGCATCATAAAAGAATTTCTGTGCTGGAATTTTCTTGACCATTACAAAGCCGATGTGTTCATTGACTAAACGAGAAAAACAGCTGCTGTGGGATTGTTATTAATAAATTGGTCTTCCTAGGATTACTGTTTCACGTTCAGTAGCTGGCATCAGGTTTTGTTCATCCTAGTTTAGACAAAGTACAGAATATCCTCATTTCTTCTTGTATTTTCTCCCTCGATTTTCTCTCTTTTTTTATGGCATACTGTCATTCTATTTCTTTCATCCTGCTAATGTGGTCGTCACTGTTGCTGCAGGAATCAAATAGGATACTTGGGCAAAGGGGTTATGGCAAGCTAAAAAATTTGCAAAAGATGCTAAGAATGAGGGAGCAGTACATGGTATCACAAGTTTCAGTGCTCTATCCTGTTAAAATATCTGTTGGACAAGCGCAAGAGCAAGAACTTGAATCATTTCCAAGCACTACTAGATCAGGTAATAGACAGGACAGTTACGATTTTCCTTCTAATAATTTGGATGTATTTGACCAGAGAAGACCATGCATTTGACATTGGTTGTCAATTGTGTGATTGCATTTCTTTGTGAGTTTGTCAATCTCAAGAGTGAAAAACTTTCTATTGAAAGCCAAAATTGTAGCCTTAGGATAGTAAGGGACTACAAATTTTCAGGTTACGATTTTGACTGCTCACGGATTAAGAAGATATGGACACGACCTTTCTCTTTTCGTGGGTAAAGGATAAGTTTGGAATTAGAGCTGCCAAATTTATTATACAAGTTCTTCGCGTTTCAAGGGTAACCTTCGTAAGTATGTTTTCTTTGAGTTCTGATACAATGAATTTACAGAGATTTTCATTTACGTACCATTAAAGGTTACTTTGTCTTCATTAGTTTATTTGTTCTTCTCCATGCTCACCTGGATGAGCATTCAATAACCAGGTAAAATTGTGCAATGGATAAGCTTTTCTGGACTTAGAGTTCCACTGTTGTGGTGGCCTTCTCTATTTTCATTTGATGTGCTATTTTGGCCTTACTGAGCAAGATATTTGTCTTTAAATTATAGCTTTGTCCTGTCATGGTTTGTTGGGTAGATGGTACTTATTTACACTTTTTTTTGTGGGGGGAAAATTAATCAATACTATCGGAATGAAAGCTTGCCACGTAATCTCTCCTGTCACAGGCCATTTAATTTTATAGGTAAACAATTTGACTGGTTTGCATAAAGGAACAAAAAATGGATACCATGTTTCCCAATTGCTACCTACAGAGCTTTGGTTTGCTTTGACAACATCACAGAATAAGTTCTTCACAGTTGGTATTTTACTTCTGACCTCTAGAACTATGGATTTAACTTAAAATTAATCCTTGAGTGGCCCTTGCCAATTTTCATTTAAGAATCTCAATTGCCTTCTTCCTCAAGTGACTATTATCCGTCACAGTTCTTCGGTCCAGCTCATTGCAGGTCTTTACACTTTATAGAGTTTAGTATCCTGGTCCAGATATCCTGGCTGTAAGGGCATTTAAGAAAGAGATGCTCTCTTGACCCCAGATAAAAGCGACACCATAAACATTGGAGTGGAGATTTTCTTCCCTGTTTTGCCTATAGGCTATTAGTAACAAGTCTATCACTATACTTAAAAGAGGTTATGAAGCTATCGGAACACCTAACCACCTTATGCCATAAAACCCTTCTGTTTTAGTTCACATCAGATTGCACATATTTGAAACAGAAAATTAACCATTTGCAGGTGGAATCCAAATGATTGAATCAGAGACATGCACATATTGCTGCAGACCCTTGATTGAATCTGGAGCAGGTCTTCAGATCTTTCTGGGGCAGGCCAAAACTAATCTGAATATTTAATTACAGCGGAAACTTTGGAATTGTATATCCAGTCAGAAACCACTTTTTGATAATAGCTCTCGAAAATTGCTCACTAGTATGCCTTTCATCAAGCCATAAACTAGTTTTAGTGTCGTTTCTTATATAGGCTATACTGTAATTGTGTAAAGGTCTTTTAATCTGCTCAAGTTACAATTCCTCCAATCATCAAGTACCTGTTTGAGCAAATAGACTTCATACGTATCCTGTAATCTGGCTTTATCAAATCTTTTAATCTTCAGCTTTCCATCGTTCTTTTTAAAGACAATATCTGTACACATGTGATTCTGCCACCATGACCATCTACCTTGACAGAGAAAAGGCTCTACGTTTCTGTTCAAGCAGTCAAAACACCTACCCTGGTAGGATAAAGATATTACTCCTGTAATTAGCCATATTTTACATTACTTAATTCACGAGTCGTAGTCTGCCCGCATATGAGCTATCCTGTCCGGTTGAAGATTCTGGCAATACTCTCTTCTAAGGGCTTCCATTCTTCTTCAGAGAGTTCTGCAGGAACTTTAAGGCACAATAATGTACTTCACACGAAGCTTTCCGAGAGAAAAGTAACTGGTGTGACCATTTGGCCAACAGAGTCAGGAAACCTACTAAAAACAACTTTCTTTTCTCTGGATTTATTTTAAGATATGACTTGTAATATGATTTATGAACTCTATCAAACAAATCCGTGATCATTCTTGGTGAAAATCATGGTCTCATCAGTGAATCAATGTAAAACAGGCCTGTTTTAGCACAATCATGATCACATATCTGTCCCATTTGTTTTCTACTTTAGTTTGGATTTAATTTTTCTTTGACTGTGTGATGTATCCACATCTTAGCAAATGTAGGACTCAATGTTCCATGATGTTCATGAGCTGGATGGCCTAACATATGATAACTTGTGCTGTTTCTTCATTTCTAGACTTGTGTCAGTGGTTTCTGATCTTTAGTTGAATATAGTTTCAGGTAGCTCTGCTGGTTCGAAGCCTGTAAATCTTGAATCCTTGACGATTATCGGCCTGCAATTGACCATGCTTCCATTTACAAGGATGAGTTTTTTTATGGATAAAAAGGAGGTCCAGAGGTCTGCGACTGCTTTGGCATATGTGGGGCATGTATGTTCTTTCTTCTGGATCAACCTTATATTGACACCTCTGTATGTGCATGCGCACGCCACATGTGAGTGGGTGGTGAAAGAGAGAGTTGGATCAGGAGAGTTTGTTCTGAGAAATATCTTTACAAAGGCACTTCAGTCACACTTTTCCATTGCGATTCAGTGTTGTTTGTTGAAAGTAGAATGTAACTTATACTGGAGATTTTTCGTTTGCTTTAAATGTTATTGACTTTGATTTTAACTGTTGCCTTGTTCAAATTGCAGGCCGTTTCTCTCATTGCTTCCTACTTAAGAGTTCCTTTGCGTTATCCTTTGCATTTAGGTGGATCTCATTCCTATATAATTGATCATGCCCCCTCCATAGAAACAACTGCAACTGATTCTTCATCAAGTGCTACCCTACCTTCAAATATTAAATCCATAGAGTTTCCACTATTTTTAGAAGGTCAGGATACGACAAGAGCAGCTTATGCTGTATTCCTCTTGAACAAGGTATACTTAATTTGCTTTACTACTGGACTGCTTATCAGATTTAATTACTGTAAGTGTAGCATATTTATCACACGGGATTTTCTGCCATTTACTTGCATCTGCAAAGCTTGTAGCTTGCATCCTAACTGAAGATACTGTGAAGCTTGATTTCATGCACTCCACATTTAAGTAATGATGGAGTGTGCTGCTGCATCTTTGTCGTTGATTTTGTGGGAAGATGCTTGCTCTAGGATGGACTGCTGTTTCATGTCGGCATTGGGACAACTATTTATCATAGCATGTTGTGTGCTATTAATCAAGTCCACATCTGACAAACTTTCTTCTATGTTATTATACAATCTAGGGGGCTCTCTACATCAATATTGCCTAGTTCTTTAATGTGCTTATGCACACATTTTGCATCGCACATTCATGTGATTTGTCATGGATCTTGTAGTGGCATGTTAAAGAATTTAGATCAGACTGTTCATTATACCTGCTTTTCTCTTTTTCCTTCTGCATATTTTCTTATGTAATTTTCTCTTGCTGTAGGATCTAGAGCAGCTATTGAATTTCATCGGTGTTAAGAGCTTAGGACCACGCTACGTATTAGCTAATCTGAAGGAACTCCTCAGGACTATTTTGTCTGCAGATTTCATAGATACATGATTAAATGTTGTCTAGGTTCTCTCTGTAAATGGATCATGTGTGATGGAGGTGCAAATTTTTGCTTGCGCACCCCACCTTAATGGTTTTTTCCTATTTTTCTCTTTGGCTTACAATTGATGAGCGACACCTTGCGGATTGAGGATGGTCTACTAATCATGGAGCTGTAAGAGGATTGTATAGATTTCTGACGGTTAATTCTTTCAACCTTGGAAGGTTGGTATACGGAATTGTAACTTCAGCAAAGAAAAAGAAGAGAAGTCGTTTAATCTAACGATACAGTTGTACCAACATAGATTCACTGTTATCTTATGTTTTCTCGAGCAATATTTTGTTCATTGCAACTATTACTCGTACCGTTTATCATTGTCATACCGAGATCTGAATGTAGATGACTTTGTGGGGTTATGAGAAATTGAGTTAGTTGTATCTGATCATTTTAGTCTTAACAATGAACTAGAACATAATATATAAATGACTACACTTCTCTTCTGATGGGTAAGTGGACTTTCATAAGCTCAAACTTGGAAGTGCAGGAGGTACCACTTCATGCTCTCCGGCTACAAGCTCATGTGGCACACTTACCACAAAACCAGGCATGCCAATTCCTGCACACAGAGAGCTATGAATGCCTCGAGTGACTCTTCCATCAGCATTAGGATCATCTTCAATCCTACTCTTGACAGCAGACTCATCACTGCATAATATGCAAGCCTGCCTCGAGGCGACGGATTTTTTCGCCTTCCGGATGTCCTTCCAACTCTTTTTCTAGCCCTAGCTAAATCATGAGGACAAGCCACTGCCATCACAAGATAGTAGATATGACAAGTTTCGAAGGGAGTATTTCCCAAGGAAATGGCCCTGAGGGTACCAATCATCCTGTGAGAAACCCCAAGGGATTCGGTAGAGTGATTCAATCGCTTGGTTCGGGTGCTACAAGGCTCAATCCCTAAGACATGAGCTTAGATAGCTTGAGCCATCACAATAGACGGCATCATGCAAGAAAAACTCCTTTCCCATCACCCACTTGCTTTCTTTTCAGATAAAAAAATTAGGACGATGAAGCTGTTCAACTTTCCTTAAAACGATACTCGTTCAGTCATAATGTACATATTACATAGGGCGATAGCAGGACGGTCAAAACGGAGCTGAAAACCGATAAGCCAAAACCAGAGCAAAGCAACCCGAATTGATAATTTCGATTGGTGTTAAGCTGAAAATTCGTATTTGCTAATTTATCGAGATATATATACGTATAAAAATTGAATTTTCACGGGCTAGGATATTATAGAAAGGATCGCGATCCTGATCAATTGACCTTAACTCGTGATGTCAAGAACTTGAATAGATTACCATATGTACCATGTTATTAGGTAACAGTTCAGTTTACCGTCCTTAAATTGAGGGGATTCAATTCTTGAATACGCACTTTCTACATCCTCGTAATCATTTTCGATCTCCCAACTTGTGATCTTAACTACGGTTTGGTTCGATTTGTCGGCAATTGTACAACATGCATATTCCTCTTGTTGTTTTGTACGATGTTTGCTTTGTAGATTTCATGGTTCTTTCTTTCCAATGGCTGTCGAAAACTCGTCTTTTGTTCGACGTTGACAAACACTATGCGGCGCTAAACTTATGTTTAAAACCCTTTTTTCTTTAGTGTAACCGCCAATGAACTCATCATTAACAGTTTCGAATGGAACGAAATAAGGCTGCGCATGACAACGATTCTGTGTCCGGAAACAGATTCTGCTCAGAAATGATTCTTTTTTATTCTGTGTCCGGAATTGATTCTGAGCATTTTAAGGCGTTTGTTAACGGCCCAAAATTCCATCCCCTGGAATAGAAAAAGAATGTAAATGCGTTTGGTAACGCCACAAAATTTCTTTTTATTAATAATATTTTTAAATATTTTAATATTTCTTTCTTTTTTTTCTTTTCTTTTTTTATTTTCCTCCTTCTTGGCCATAGCCTGCTCGCTGGCCATGACCAGTAAAATATTTTTTTATTAATAATATTTTTATTAAAAGTATTTTTTCTTTTTTTTTTTGCCATGGCCTGGTCGTCGACCATGACCAGTAAAATATTTTTTTTATTAATAATATTTTTTATTAAAAATATATATTTTTATTTTTTTTGGCCATGGCCTGGTTGCCGGCCATGGCCGGTAAAATAATTTTATTATTAATAATATTTTTTATTAAAATATTTTTATTTAAAATATACATTTTTATTTTTTTGGGCCATGGCCGGTAAAATATTTTTTTATTAATAATATTTTTATTAAAAATATACATTTTTATTTTTTTGGGCCATGACCTGGTCGCAGGCCACGGCCGGTAAAATATTTTTTATTAATAATATTTTTATTAAAAATATATATTTTTATTTTTTTTTCGCCATGGCCTGGTCGCCGGCCATGGATGGTAAAATATATTTTTTATTAAAATATTTTTATTAAAAATATATTTTTTTCTTTTTTTTGCCATGGCCTGATTGCCGGCCATGACCTGTAAAATATTTTTTTTATTAAAATATTTTTATTAAAAATATACATTTTTATTTTTTTGGGCCATGGCCTGGTCGCTGGCCATGGCCGGTAAAATATTTTTTTTATTAATAATATTTTTTATCAAAAATATATATTTTTTCTTTTTTTGCCATGTCCTGTTCACCGGCCATGGCAGGTAAAATATTTTTTTTATTAATAATATTTTTTATTAAAATATTTTTATTAAAAATATATATTTTTCTTTTTTACGGCCATGGCCTGGTCGCTGGCCATGGCCGGTAAAATATTTTTTATTAATAATATTTTTTATTAAAATATTTTATTCTCGTCAGATCCGGCGAGGGCGGTCCTCGGGCCGGACATTAGAAGCTAAATTAAAAACCAAGAAAAGGAAGAAGAAAAAAAAATTGATTCTCAAAATTGTTCCCAGAATCAAGAAGCTACTTTTTTTTTACTCTTGATTCTGCTCCAAAACTGATTCTGGGAACAATTTTTGACAAAATTGTGCCCAGAATCAAAAAATTAAACAAATGCATTTCTGTTCCCAAACTAATTCTGGGAACAAAAGAACAGAATCAAACACTATTTGGCAAGTTGTCATGCGCAGCCTAAGAATCATTATTAATTACGATTTGCATCGTATTGCGTGTGGGCCCAGCTTGAAGTGGGTCGAGCATTTCCATGTGGAACTCATCGATATGGGTGGAACCGCATCGTCCGTTGAATGTGTCACCCAAAAGGCGGCGTCAAAGAAGAGAGCAATGCACAAGTTGGACAATTCTTTTTTATTCTAAAACTTTCCAATGGCCGTGAAGAATGCGGGTAACATGTTGGCTAACCCAAATCGTCAACATCACTTGATTAGACCAATAGTAGCAAATCCAAAAGCATATTCGCTTTCTAATCATTTCCATATTACGGCCTGAGTTTTCTATTTTCAAGCCGGATTGAGGGGATTAAGATGTACTCATGAATTCATGGCGCCTAGACCCGAGTTATTGGGCTGATAGATAAGTCTCACGCGACCTTATATGCCAGCATGATGCGTTTAAAGCCGGTGTGAGTGCGGGCAAGTTGTGACCAAATGCGGGCGATATCATTGCCGCCGGTATGTCCGTGTGGGCCCGCTTTCAACGGTATCAAGGTCGGGGTGGAGACGTCGGGTCGGAACACATCCTCAACTCCGCGTTGCCCCGGACCTAGGCTTGTGCGTTGGTAGATTAGCCTCGTGCCATCTTAAACTAAGAACTGCCACCTTGTCATGTTATCATGCTTTTTGATGCGTCGAGCATTTCATGATTGCAACATAATTGGTTTCCTAACTTTTATATTCGAGAAAATCATCTCATACCATCTAATATCAATTTTCAAAAAATAGAGTGCACGTATCCCGTTATTCATAAAAAGAAGAAGAAGAAGAAACTTTACCCCAACCGCCTTAATTTTAAGGGATTAGTGCACTAAAAGTCCTAAAAATTATCACAAATTTAAATCTTTTAAAAAGTGCAATCAAGTCCTAAAACTTGTCAAGAAGGTACAATCGAGTCCTAAAACTTTCACAACTTTCAAAAAGTGCAATCAAGTTTTAAAACTTGTCACGAAAATGCAATCGAGTCCTAAAATTTTCAAATAGTGTAATTAAGTCATAAAACTTGTCACGAAAGCGTAATCGAGTCCTAAAACTTTCAAAAAGTGCAACCAACGGAAGGACTCGATTGTACTTTCGTAACAAGTTTTATGACTCAATTGCATTTCTTGACGAGTTTAAGGACTCGAGTACACTTTTCAAAAGTCTTAATATTCAATTATACTTTCGTGACAAGTTTTAAGATTTATAATGCACTTATCCTTAATTTTAATTTTAAAATGCTGAAAATATTTCGCACGTTGGAGCTGCATCAATCAGGGTCGCAACGTAATCCGACCAAGAAAGAAAGAAATCACAACGTGAAAGTCCAAAGTTAACAACAACCAGACAAACTTCCTCGTCCTCATCGTCCCCGACCCCCGACTCCGATCCCCCTCTCTGTCTCTCTCTCTCTCTCTGCAACAAGGAAAAGTCAAGCTCACGAGCTAAGTGGCAATGGCGAATGCGGCGCCCTTCTTCAACCTCTTGCATTTGGCGTTTTCCGGCGAAATACTAATCAGTAATCACGCCCCCTCCCTTGACTTTACTGCATGACGACGACGACGACGAACACGTGATGCGCTGTCACATGAGATAAACCACTGCCCTTCCTTCCTCTCTCTCTCTCCATGTCCAACCGCAGTATATAACTCATCGCCCATCATCATCGTCGTCGTCGTCGCCTGTCTGTCTCTCGCCGCGCGAGGAAGATGGGAGCAATGCCGCCGCCGGCGCTGTTGGGAGTCTCCCTCGCCCTGCTCTGCTCCGTGCTCTGCCCCCTGCCCCTGCTCGCCGGAGGAATCCCGACGACCCTTGACGGGCCGTTCCCGCCCGTGACGGTGCCCCTCGACAAGAGCTTCCGCGGGAACGCCGTCGACTTGCCGGACACCGACCGCCGGGTCCAGAGGACGGTCGCCGGTTTCGGGCCGGAGCAAGTCTCCGTCTCGCTTTCCTCGAACTGCGACTCCGTCTGGATTTCTTGGATCACAGGTCTGTTTGCCTTTGCGGGTTGCTCTTCCATTCTAGCCAAATTCGCTCTGAGTTCTGATAATATTTATCCTTTCATTTTTTATTTTTTTGGTTTTTGTTCATTGGATTGTGATCGAGATAAGTGTTGAGCAGGAGACTGATGTGCAAGAGATTGAAACGGGGCTTGACTTTTAGACATGGATGAGACAAATTTCACTTGGCCGTGAAATCAGATATTTTTGTGACATTTACTCATGTTTAGTTGTGGGGTAATGTGATTGGTGTTTTCTATTCATAGGTGAAGGTGATGTTGGTGGGTGGGTCGGAGTTGGATTTATCTAGTGGCAATTGTGTATATGTCGATTGGATTGGATTTTATAATCAGAAGCTCATGAAATAGACTGCTCTCTGTTCTTGAGGCAAAGATTGCACTTATATTGTGGAGCATGGAATTGATGCCGACAATAATTTGTTGAATGGTTCAATAGAGATTGTGAGACAGTACTTTGGTTGTTTGTCTGGCTCAAGCAGTATGGAAAACCCGGGTATTTGTTATTTCTGATGACTTTTGTGCTGAGCAGCAGTACAGTGGTTGTAATTGTTACTTACTAGGTTGTGTCTGCGATCGATGTTTCTCGGAAATGTTTGCAGGAGAGTTCCAGATAGGTGACAATATCACCCCATTGGATCCGAACAGTGTGGAGAGTGTTGTTTATTATGGGGTCTTAAGATCTGGACGGAGTCATCAGGCGACCGGTTATTCGCTAATTTACAACCAACTTTATCCCTTTGAAGGCCTCAAAAACTACACTTCTGGAATCATACACCATGTTCGTCTGAAAGGTATCGTATGCATTGTTGTTCTTGCATCAATAATGTTTTAAAACTCTAGCGTCGATGCATTAATAGCATTTGTGAGAAATATCCTGCTCTCCCTTTTCTTTCCGTTTTCTTTATTTGCTGAAAGTTGATGGAAGGCTACTGAAAAAAATCAATCTGAAGAAAATGCTAAATAAAATTTTCTCACTCATCCATTATTTACATCCGTGACCAATGCTTTCCCAGTCATCCCAAGATTTTGGCTCCTTTTTCAATTAGTCATATGTGAAGCTCCACTTGATTTTGCAGTTCGTTATCTTTTGTCAAATTCTTAATTTTTTCAAGCTTGGAGGTACCTCTAGAAACGCAAATGTGGGGAAATTCTCTGAAGAAATTACCTGAATGTCTGATGTTCTTGCAGTTAGTAATCTTGAAGTTAATTTCTGAAACTTGTCTTGTCATCAGAGACATTCTGTTTTATGTGGAAGAGGGGAAAAAAAGAAAAAAGGGGGGAAAAGCATAGAAATCATATCTCTTATGTGCTAGCAGTTTATCTTTGGTACTGTACAGTCACCGATTTTTGTAATTCTAAGTTTTACTGGTTTTTGGTTATCGATATCTGACTTTGGTTTTTCTTCAGGGTTGAAGCCCAACACATTATACTATTACCAATGTGGAGATCCTTCAATAGCAATGAGTGATGTGTGTTATTTTAGAACTATGCCCGTCACTGGCCCGAGGAGTTACCCCAGCAGAGTGGCAGTGGTTGGTGACTTGGGTCTTACATACAATACCACTTCTACGGCCGACCACATGCTGAGTAATCATCCTGATCTTGTTCTTTTGGTTGGGGATGTGACTTATGCTAACTTGTATCTCACAAATGGAACTGGGGCCGATTGCTACTCCTGTTCGTTTCCACAAACTCCTATTTACGAAACCTACCAGCCACGATGGGATTATTGGGGAAGGTTGGCATACTACTTTGCTCTTTCTTGATGGAAACTAATGAGTCGCTTTTCTTCAGTCTTGACTAGCACAGCTAAGTCACTAACTAATTGGCTGAGATGATTTCTGTTCATTTCGAATCTCACGAAAAGTAGAAATAGTATTGTATCAGCAATTAGGGTGCCTCATTCTCACTAATCTGAAATGGAAATAGAGCCAACATATCTTGATGGTGTTTCAAATGTATTCATCTGAGAGTGCAGTGAAGGGAATCTCCTACATTCTTACTAATATTGCTCTTGGGGTTCTCTCAAGAGCTCATGTGGATTCTTTTGAAAAATTGTGAATATGGCCTCAAGCATTGTGTTCCTGATGAAGCATTTAATTTTCTTTGTATGCTGGCTTTCACTAACTCATTGGAGTCTAATATAACATGATTTTTTTTTGTCATTTCAGGTTTATGCAGCCTCTAGTGTCTAAAGTTCCCATCATGGTCATAGAAGGAAATCATGAGATTGAAGAACAGGCTGAAAATCGGACTTTTGTTGCTTATAGTTCTCGATTTGCATTTCCATCTAAAGAAAGTGGATCATCGTCTACGTTTTACTATTCCTTCAATGCAGGCGGGATACACTTTTTAATGCTTGGTGCCTATATTTCTTATAATAAATCATGTGAGCGTCTTCCTTTTGTTTTTCTCTTAAACAGTAGATTCTTCAGAAGCATGTCTCTGACACTTTTATGCTTTTGTCTCAGCGGATCAGTACAGATGGTTAGAGAAAGACTTATCTAAGGTTGACAGAGAAGTCACACCATGGTTGGTGGCTACATGGCACCCTCCTTGGTACAGCACTTACACTGCACATTACAGAGAGGAGGAGTGCATGAGGGTTGCAATGGAGGATTTGTTGTACAGTTATGGGGTTGATGTTGTCTTTAATGGACATGTAAGTCACCATTCCCTATCATTTATCTTTTATTAGCTGCCCCAGCGAAAGGTTTACTGTTTCTTTTTCCAACTCGGAGTGGAGGCTGCAAATGTTCTTAGTCCTTTTTGTCTCATGTATCTATCTTAGGCATTACATGAGGCAGATTGATACATTATCTGGTTCTGCGCATTAGCTGCATCTCGGCAATATGGCATGCTCAAACATTTATAACATGGATTTTATGATGTTCTTTTATGAGACTTTTGCAGTGTGTCTTTATCTTTGTGATCGAGAAGGCCCTCTTCTTTTGTTTAACATGATCAACAGTTGACACGAATCTCTATCGGAAAAAACCAACAGGTTCATGCCTATGAGAGGTCAAATAGAGTATACAACTACACTCTGGATCCCTGTGGTCCTGTTCACATCACTGTTGGAGATGGTGGTAACAGAGAGAAGATGGCGATTACACATGCAGATGAACCTGGAAACTGTCCAGACCCAAGTACCACCCCCGATACGTACATGGGTGGTTTCTGTGCATTTAATTTCACATCGGGCCCTGCTACAGGCAAATTCTGTTGGGACAGGCAACCGGAATATAGTGCTTACAGAGAAAGCAGCTTCGGGCATGGCATTTTTGAGGTACCTAACAATCCCTTAATTACTCTACATGACTGTATCGACATGTATGCACCAAATGCACTATTTACTCTTGTTAAGATTTATGGAAAGCCATGGCGCATTTTGGTTGTAGATAAACAGTAGAGTAAGAAAGCACCGCAAAAATTTAACATGTGAAACTCTCAAGTAGAAACTTATGACTGCCATGTTTACTCCACATCCTAAGACGCTCAGTGCGTGATCTTTATAATCTGCCGCTGCTTGTGGAGTAACCACGCAACTTCAATGTTCATTTGCGGTGATCCGCAAATGGTCCATGCGTCTTGCAAGGATGATTAAATTTTGCTTCTCCTTGTGAAACCTGTGTTTGGGATCAAGTCAGCTGGTGCTTGTTTTCCTAATAACTGCTGGCTGGATTAACCAGAGCTTATGCTACACCATTGTTTAGGAAGATTTGGTCATGTGACCTTAATATAATGCATGGAATGCATGGAGGTGTCAAATGGATGAAAACATTGAATTCCCCTCCCGTATTCGCAAAAAAATTCAAAATTTTTGCATCATTTTCCACGACAGTCCCTCTTTCCTCAAACAAAGCATAAGAGTTGAGCATTCCATCTCACTTATTAACCGACAGAGTGCAAGAAGAGTTTATACACTGGGAAAGAAACGATATTTGGGGAGATCATGACAGTCACTGTCTTCTATGCTCGTGCAGGTGAAGAATGAGACTCATGCTTTGTGGACATGGCATCGTAATCAAGACTTGTACAATAAAGCAGGAGACGTCATCTACATTGTTAGGCAACCTGATAAGTGCCCAATCAAGGCAAAGAGAAACGTCTGACCAAGTCCACAAGACCAGCTAATTCACAAAACAGATCAAGATTAACTTTTTGAAAAGAAAATTAGCAGTTGTCACTTTTCTACAATTGATACAGAGAACCGTTACTGTTTTCTACAGGAAGCTGATTATGCGATTGTTGGCAAGATAGTGTATGTCTTCTTAAGGCGTAAACGCAATCGTGTGAAGAAACCATTGTTCTTGATTATAAGTCGTACGAGGGAATGTTCGTACCAAATTTACATCTTTTTCTGAATGTTTGTTGTGCTTATGCATACGGTCTCGACATTCTGATGAACAGAAATTACAAAATTGAAGGAGGGCGCTACATGCATTTACCGGCTATTAACATATATTCATTAGAAAATACAAAATTGGTTTTTTTTCTTTCCTCTTGTCCTGCCGAAATGCGCCCTGGCCTTTTCTTGTTTTGCTTAAACAAAAACAGACATGACCGAATTCGACTTAGCAGAGTTCATGACGTTAATCATCCAAAACATGACCTTAACTTTAGTTCATAAGTGAACATAATGAGACAGAATCGTCATTTCCTCGTTACCATTTGACAAAGTACATCTTCAGGCATCATCAGGCTGCAATATAAGCCTGAAAGATATGATAGAAAAATTCAGTGAAAACTTTCCCAAAAATAATCTCACGAGTACGCATTTTGCAGCTCATTACATCTCAAAGAAAAAAAAACAGTAGCTATATAATTCAGGGTAAATGACAACCCTGTTGTTCACTCAGCCTATGTATTCTCTCTCTGCCTTCTCTCGTGTATCTCCCTCCAGAAAGGCCCACATGCTCTTGAGGGACAAAGAATCAAGAATGATATATCAAAACAAAAATGTAGGTTGGATTCAAATTATCTCATAAAATAAGATGTATGCCTCACAGCGAAGAACTTCTTCTAACGTGACTTCACGCACATACACATCACTGGCATGATACCAGACGGAAGCCCCGACTCCGTTTTTGCTCTTCTCACCTCCGCGTATGTAGGCGACATAGTGGCCCCCACGCATGGTCCCCATGTGCTCCACAACACCAGTGAGACGATAGACACACTTTTCTTTGTCCTCCCCCCTGCGAAAGAGCAAAAAGGAACACCCGGACACTGTTGTGTTATACAGGAAGATTCAGGTACACATGGTCAATGCCAGCGGCTGAACAGAAAAAGAGAGACAAGCTACAAGGGAAAAACAACCAAGCCTCATAAAACTTAGAGGAGACTACCGGCGCAGCTATACCATAAAAGAAACCAGAAATAAGCACCCTTTGATGCTCTTTGTTCCGGCAATGCCTCAAATAAGACGATGATTAGCAATGGGATATTAGCAAGACAAGGATCTCAAACATCAAATGATATGCTCAAGACATATGTATCACGAGACCCACAGTATATACTATACTTATGCAGCAAATCTTCCCTTGGAACCAGTCTACTATCCTCGACCTATTAGACAAACTACACACTGGTTGGTAACAACATGACAGGAACATTTTTGCATTTTTGCCGCATGGAACAGAAGAAATCTAGAAAGAAAGTGAGGTATGGAAGAAGTTTTCAGCTGAAGCATTGAATTAAATACTGAAAATGTTGCCATGTAACCTAATTTTCTGATTAAAACAGCCAACGTCATCCCAATATACTTCATCTGAACAACTAAGGACTGGCTTCGTTATACCCTTACTACTCTGGTTTTTTATACTTACAGTTCTTTTGTTCAAGATTGGTTTAGTAAAAGTAACTTTGCATTTCCTACAAACATTGTCATAGTAGGAAAAAATGCGTCCAATGTTACAGGTTTCAAAAGTCTTGTTGCGTAACTATTGTGTAATTAAGTTCTTTCTGGCAAATTGCCCTGTGGTGGGAGGGCAGAGGCTTCTTCCAAACATCTGCTTCAGACTCCTCTCGAGTCATGGCTTCTAATTCATTTTGCTATTAGGTTTAAAAGACCCATTAAAACTCAGCCAGTAACAACCAACAGCTGAACTGCATCATTCTCTCCAAACTTTCAACCTATGCTTTTGGCTTTTCAGTAAAGATAACTGCAAAAAATGTCTAAGTTACACTTGATAGTGCCAAAGACAACTTTTCCAACAATATAGAGTTACTATTAAGTAAAAATAACAAAGTAGTTTCAAAAGTGATAATCTCCAAAACCATAACTAATTCTTTAAAGTAGAAGTACATGGAGTCCCACTCTCATCAATCACCTGCTCATCTTGTAGTTTAACAAGCACTAAACAATAGTCTCTAAAGTTCAAATTAGGCATTTCAGCTTGTCCTTCATTTTTTGAGTAAAACTGAGTCATATTTTTGACAACCTCTCAAATACGTATTACACAACAAAGAACTAATGTCTACACAAAATGAGATGGAAGAACCAACTAACAAAGGAATATTATCAAAAAACAAAATGTCAAACATCCATTTATATGAGTCCAGGAATAATAGGGACATTAACATTTTAACAAGAATATAACTATCTCAATAATTTGTGGCTTCTGATGGATTGCCATGGCACCTAGTAACTGGAGCATCTCACATACCAAAGTCTACCTGTCCTAATTAGATATAGTTCCACAAAAATTAGGTTGTTTGTACTTCTCTTTTCAATCCTGGATCATATTTAGTATACTTTTTCTGCCACAACACTTAATTGGTATGAATGGATTTTGCTGAATGACACTATGTGTGAAGAACCAATGACCTTACAGTCAGAGAAACACAAGCACAAGATAAAGCCTTCATGCGGAAGGCCAGTTCCAAGTGCAGATTCTGGATCTCCTAATTTATTTCCAGTTCAAACTTCAAATAACGTAACATTGGTGCCTCAGTTTGCAAACTTCTGGTTCCTGTAGAATCCTCTCTTTCCCATCTGTCTAGTATAGTTCTCGCTTTTAGGATGCAAAAACCCTTTGAGATCCATGTCGCGTTGCTTTTGTGTCAAATTTTCGATTCACACTTATGCTTCCCTATAATATATAGGTAGCCAATGTGGCAAGACAATCATGCAGAAGGGAATTCAGGAAATCCAAAATGGAAGCGCTCTTTACCTTCTCCTTCAAGAGGAATGAAATCCTCCTTCAATGTATAGAAAGAAATCAAGAATGCTGAAGGTTTCCTCAGATGCGGTTCCGTGGCTCTAGAGAAGGCACAAAAGGCAACCTAGGGCTACATTTCTGACTCAGTCAATTACAGAGGGAAGGTCAGTCGCCTTTCATGATTTGAATGGCTAGTTTTGATACAATGTAAGGCATTAATATACCGATTTTCCTCACTAAACCAACAGTAGACTATTTCCTTAATGAACTGAATATTTCAACTGACACAAAGAAACCAACTCATAAGCTATAGAAACAAGCTAGAGAATGTTCATTCAGAACACCTTCCTAAGTTTGCAATATTATGAAGAACACAAGCCATATTTTTATTTTTGAAAAATGTAGCGTTCCCCTTCTGTATAAGTCAAATGACACTTTCCTCTCGTGACAAAACAACTTACACCTCAACCTTGTAGATTATTTTCCATACAATGGTTTAACTGTCATATATAGTTAAGACAATATAGTTAAGTCCCTTGAGATGCCAGCAGATTAAAACTGAAGCTGTATTCAGTCTTTATGCAATGTTTCGAACTTTGGGACAAGCTATTAACAATCTACACCTCCTTATCTGAAAAGATAGGAGTGACCTCAGCTCCGATCTTGGAAAATCTAGTCTAACTTACATCCTAGGTGGTGCTAAACTAAAGATGAGAGATGACTTCAGATATTCCGTAGATCTGCGGCCTCCAAACTTGATCAATATGCAAGTGGAGGAAATTTCCTGTAATTTTTTTATATAGAAGGAGACATTCAAATTTTGCCATCCGAAGTCTTAGAATCAATTTACAAATAGGAGGGCTTACTGAAGGTGTCACTGGAAGCTCTAAGTTGGTGCAGTACTCAAGCTTGTTAGCTGAAGGTGTCACTGGAAGGCGATATGCTTTTGCCAGTAGCTTCAAGTTTGATATAATTTACAAATAGGACAGCTTTCTGAAGGTGTCACTGGAAGCTCTATGTTGTCCCATTACTAGAGACTGTTAAAGGCAATGTACTTTTGGGTTTAACTTTATCATCTTGGTCGTGCTATGTGGCTTACTGAAAGCAGAAAATTGCAAATTTTTGTTTTCTTGATAATTGGCAGGAGGAAAAATGGAAACTGCCAACAAAAATAGGTACTCATCCTCAATCTTGCATTTTGGCAACACTGACAATTTCTATGTGTACTCCGCTAACAGCCTATTTAAAAAGAAGCCATGAGCCATTCCAACAGCCCCGTCCCTATGTACTCTCATTTGACTTTTACCTTACTTATATTTATTGCTAACAACGTCCTTAAAATTTCGTGCAGACATTACTAACCATTACCAGAAAAAAGGGGGAAAAAAGCTACAACAATTTATTAGGCATATCTTTGTAGAGGTTGAAATATTGTTAGCACAAACAAAAGAATAAACAATCGGGCATGAATATAACTTGACAAATATGAAAGAAATTGGACTTGTGATTTCACTAAAATAAAGTGGATGTTTTTGACTAATACATGTAGGCATGGGTGTGCATTTTTCCTTTTGAGACTTTAAAGGGCTATAAATGTTTGAGAATTCATATAATGAAAAAATACAGAAGCTTCAATTTTAGGATTCAATCTACTTTTTTCTGTTTATGGTAAGTTGACTTAGCCTGTCGATTTACATCCATTGTATCCTATAATTAACACAATAGAGCATCCCAAAATGTAGTTCTTATCAGATTCTCCTGTCTGAGTTGAATCATTCACCGCAGAACTGTTAGATGTTAATAAAGAATCAATCACTGATTACGACCGTCAACGACGGTCTTAACCATCTAAATCTGATTTTTCTCTTTCTTCATATCGTATGAATCCTCCTGTTGAAAAGACTGTCCATTAGAAAGATAAATACTGAAGGACCTAGTTTTCATTTCAGGAGGTGGGTAAGTGCACTCGCTGAAGACCATCAATAAATTTAGTGAGGCATCAACACCACACCAAAATAATATGGGGGAGAGCAGTGTTTCTACTCATGTACTAATTATAGATATTTCAAAAACCGAAAGACAACGAACCACTTCAATATTTTTTCCCCCTGTTTTCCTCTCTCCTTTCTTTCAGCAGATGTTAATTGTCTAAAGTCATTGCAATAAATAAATATAAAGCACTCTAACTAGAGCAGGAAAGTGATGGTACCTTGTATCCATAAATGGTCTCAGATCAATTGTTTCTCTGAAAATGACATGACCACTCAATTTACTTAGACGACCACGAGCATCTTGGCTGAATCTTTTTAAGTGAATGGTAAGGATTGGTGGAGCTTTGTGTACGAGGACCCTTTTAGTTGCATCTCTCTTCACTTCCACAGCTCCTGAATCTGCCTCATCGTCAACTATCTCCGTTTCGCATTTTGTAGCCAACACGTGATTGACCTGTTGAAGTTTTGCCATAATCGGTCCAGTACAACTAGGTTCATCACCTGCACAAGACCCAGTAGCTTGATCACTTGAGCTCACATGAGACGGTGTATCTAGCTTCCCATTTTGAACGACAACTTCTTTGTGATTAATGTCGATGGAGTGATCATCATTTTCGCTAATTCCATTGCTAAGCTTTTGGGCCTCAGCTGGACAGCAGGATTCTGAACTTGAATCAGCTGAAATGATTTGGCTTCCTCTCTCACATCCATTAGCGCATAAGCTTGCTACACATTTTGCCTGCTTCTTCTTGGATTCAAGCTGCTGTTGTCGCAGAGTTCTTGAACATTTCTCACAGTGCCAAGCATTATCGTTAGAAAGAAGTTCATCTTTAGTGAAGTGAGTCAAACAACTCTCAATAGATACAGGGGAATCTGAATGATCAACTTCACCAGGATCAGACTCGCTGCTGTTTCCGGCCATCAAGCCAGAGTCTGCTACTTCATTTGTCTGAAAATTATCATCACCTAAAGAGGGACCGGCAACAGGCCCATAAACAATGTCAGGCTCATTGAACATGTCACCAAAGCCATCAAATTCTGATTCGTCCTGTGTGAAGCCCATCGAAGATGTCACACCATCTCTGGTGTTGTCGCCCGTAGTTGACGTGTTTACTTCATACGGAAGCAACAGGACTTCAGATTCTTGGACCTGCAATGGTGTCTCATCTTCCCAAGAATTTTTGGAAGATATTTCCTCTTTTAAATCAGTTGCTTCATTAATACTATCACTAAAAAAGTGATTTTGTTGTGAGCCATGATCAGCCACATCTGCAATACCATCTCCCTGGACCTGTCTACACCCATTATCTTGTGAAGAAAAATTAATTTCACTTGATACTGGTTGTGAATCAAGATAGTCCAACCTTGTTGAATCATCCGCTGAAACAGCATGCTGTTCCAACTCTTTCTCAAAGACCTGCTCACTCTTGGACTCTTTAACAGTGTCCACTTTAGCCGTAGACATATCCTGTGAACCTGCAGCCCATTCATCAAGAACAGTGTCTCTATTTCCGGATGCTTCCACAGGCCCGAAATTAGTATCTTGCAAATCAAAATCAGTAACACCAAGATCAAGGTAATCTAACCATGTAAAATCTTCTGTAGAAGCAGCTATCGTGTCTGTCTCTTTTCCAGAGAGAGGTGTGTTATCATGCTCTTTGATAGCTAAGTGATCTGGTGAAGAACTAACTTTGCCATTAACTACAGCACCTGAGCCAGTAGAAGTTTCAATCCTAGAATCACTCGACGAAGCAACAGTGTCTATAGGAGGTGTGGTAGATTGTGCACTCGCTGATGCACTGGAAACACTATGAGCTGTAATGGATTCCGAATCTTTGTTAACCTTTGGTCGTGTCCGTGCACCTTTCTTGGGCAGTACTTTTGCTTTCTTTGCTCGAGAAATAGGCTGGTTCTTTTTAGGTGGAGGTTTCTTGGTGGGAACAGGCAATGAGAGATCTAGAAATGGCTCATACACAGTAGATGAGTGCCCACACTCAACACAGCAAACGGTGCTTGATATCTGGCCCCCAAAGACAGCGTCGACAAAAGTCACATTCTGATTATGAGGAACTCCACCCTCTTGGTGAAGTCTTGACTGTTTTTTCATGTCAAACTCCTCAGTTGACAACACATCCAGTAAGCAACGAAGCAATTCATGACTGTCGTGCTGCTGATATCCTCTAAACTGAGGAGCCTTGGAACAGATACATCCAAATAAGGATCGGGGGTTAATCACATTCTTCACTCCATTTTCCATCGTTACTTCTGAAAAAAGTTTTTTTAACGAAATAGTGAGAGGTCCAATAGATGTGTCCCACTTCCCAAGATAATCTTTTAGCCTATCTAAGGCTAAAAGATTTTGCACGACTGAATTAAAAAAGCAAGAATTCCCAAGATTAACCATTCCTCTTATTACATAACCACCTCTTCCGTCTGACCAGCCGGAGACACTACTTGTCAAATTCACTTCGCTGGTAACACTGCCACTGCCACTTCCAAACCAAACATCTTCAACATCTACAGATGGCGCTTGCGTAAACCGCCCTTTAATTAGCTTCACAATTTCCGCAAGCGGATCATCCTTCTGTTCGACATTTTCTTGAATTTTCTCAATCGGTATTGGTGCACGGCATCGAAAGCACCACCGAAGGCTAGGCTTTTCAAGTTGGATTGCCAAGGGGTGTTGTGTTTGCCGGGCATGCCGAACAGCATGACTTTGAGCAGTCGTCGGAAAACCGACCCCTCCACAGGCATAATGCCCACACTCCAAGCAAATCCATATGGCTTTGGACTTCGAGTCCGTAGAAGCGCCAGCTTTCTTCTTCCCCTGTTTACCCTTTCCCTTATTCCCTCTCCTATCAGCTACACTTTCTCTACAATCCTCGCACTTTACCGATTCAGAAGATCCGATCTTTTCAGACAAAGCATTCAAATCAAAACCCTTTTCCAGGTGGGCACAGGTTTTACTCTCATTCTGAACCGGATGGCCTTTGGCAACCTCGTTCTCAGCAACGTCCGGTGGGGGCACAGTTTTCTGGATATGGTTAGGAACCCGCTTTTCCCTGACACTGACAGGAGTCCTGGCCTTCTTCTTCGCTTTCTTCCCCATTTATTGAATCGAACCGATCGAAAACTAACCGCCAACTCTCCGTATGCACATTGAAATCTGAAACTCAAAGGGGAAAAAAAAAATCGCCACTTTCGACAGGAAAAGTAAAGAGCAAACACCTAAAAACAAAACCCAACTCGACATCCATAGCTAAAAGGCCAATACCATCAAGACACAATCAGATTAAAACGAAAAAAAAAACACCCACTTCGTCGAAACTGTAAAGCATCATGATTTGGATCCAAAGCAGATAGTAGACCTCGAAATCAACACCCAAAGGGGCGAAACGAACAAGGAATTTAAACCTACTGAGCAGACGATGCAAACCGACTGATAGACACATAGATGAAAGATCGAAACGGGGGCTTACGAGAAGCTGAGGAGCAGGACGAAGCCGCCCGAGGATGGTGGGGCACGATCGGTGGCGATTCAAGACGAGGGGCACAACGGAAGATTCAAGATTCCGACTGCCAAGAGGGGTGAACAAGAAGCAGAAGAAGAAGACCAAGAAGGAGAAGAAGGGTGTGCAGGGCAAGCGTGCAGAGCTCGTTGGGGGGAAGGTGGGTTTGGAGCACCGGCCAGTCGTTTCACTCTCGCTACAAGCGAGGAGCAGCAGGGTAGACGAAGGAAGGGAAGGGGAGGAAGGGAGGAGGAGAGCATGAGTCTGTGAGAGGCGTTTATCTTTGGCCCTCCTTTTGGAGGTAAAACATAAGATTGCACATGGGATAATGACATCAACTTTTGTTAGATGTACAAAGTCCACCCTAGATTTTTACTTTGTTCAACATAAGTTTCAGATATTATACGAAAATGTTCAATTTCATCTCCCTATGAATTCAAGTTCAGGGGTAACATTGAACATTTTTCATATAATATAGGGACTAGATTGAACATCAGGGACCACGTCGAACAAGTTGAACATTCATGAACAACTTTGAACAAATAAAAAAATTCAGGGACCATATAACACATTTTGCTAAAATTCAATAATTATTTGTGTCATTTTCTCATTGCACCGTTACATTCACATTCCAACCCAATCCAAGACATACAAGGTAAAAAAGCAAAAAGAATTTATTTTTCAACTTGTTGAAAAAAGAAAAGATTTTATTAATAAGCTTTCGAAAGATTTGTTAATTAATCGAATTCTTATGATATACACTATTGATATTACGAAGGTCGAATACTTTTTGGCTGATAGTCTAAAGGTGGTCGTTAACAAAATCGGAAAAAAAAGGTCAATTTTCACGTACAATACTGGAATCAATCGACAAAAGAAAATAAAGTGAAGGTTTAATTGCGTTGATTCCAACTTTAGCACTTGCTCATATCATTGTACGACAAATGGACTCTACTATTACAATGGTCGGAGTCGGATTTTTTCCCTTTTTGAGTAAACATTTTTTTATCATTCTAGAAGGCTAAATAGCACTTTTCAAAACTCTGTGTTTTAAGAATTCGACCTCAAGTCGGACCACAAATCCGAACTTAACTCAGATGTTGGACTAACATTTTACTTCCTAATCGAGTGCATTGGAGCTCGAGCTGCTTGTTGAAAGTTTAATCAAGTTGACTTCAAGTTTAGAGAAGTCAAACTCGATCCAACTCGAACTCTGATCGAGCTATTATCGAGTTAGGTCAAGCTCGAGAGTATCTCAAATCGTATCAACTAAATTTGACTGGGTTATATACGTCATTGCATCCATCCATAGCAATCGTTGCATGACCTTCGCACAATCCTTGCCATCAACATATGAGGGGTACATGACCCCCTCCACACAAACTAGATCGACCCTCGCTTGTCTTCTATTTTCTTGTTAAAAGTGTTGACAAACATATCCTTTGTTCTTTTTCTTGGTGAACATCCGTCTTGCAGTGAAGATTACAATGCATCAATTGCAAATAAATCAAATTTCATATGTTGAGCGAAAGTAACTTAGATACGGAGTAATCTCGAGCATTATGTCCATAGACGGGGATAAATCTAGAGATTAGACATTGGGGCTGTGTTTGGTTGTCTGGATTTTTAGCCAGAATATGATTGGATATAATATGATATAATCTTTAGGTTTTTGCTATATCATATCCATTATTTTGTGAATCACAATAATAAAGTTGGATATTTTCACATCTTATCACGTCTATTATTTGATATGAATAACATATCAGTATAAATGAACTTAAAAATTGCCCAAACGGATATGGCAAGGTTCTCTCACAACAATCTTGCCTACTTCATTTTTATTTTTATTTTTATTATTTTCCCTCTCTTTTTTTATTTCTTTTCCTTCTTTGTCTCTTTTTCCCGTTCCCTCATTCTCTAATAAAATTTTATTAAATAGCAAACTATACTAATATATCTAAGGATTAATAGCATGAAAAATCCCAAACTGATACACTTGTGACAAATTTACCCAAAACTATTATTTTGACAACAAAAAATCCTAAACAGGTACACCTGTGACAAATTTACCCCAAACTAATTTTTTAACCACTAAAAACCCCAAACTGGTACACTTGTGACAAATTTACCTCCGTTAAATTGGATTAATATAAAAAAAAAAGACACAAACTCGTACACCTTTGACATACGGATGTTAAAACTCCAAACTGGTACATTCGTAAATTATCATTTGTTATTTAACTTATTAATTAGAAAGTAAAATTTAACGGAAACTAACGGAGGGTAAATTTATCATAGATGTACCAGTTTGGGATTTTTTAGTGGTAAAAAAAATTAGTTTGGAGTAAATTTGTCATATCAGTTTGAGATTTTTTGTGGTATTAACCCCACATCTAAAATACTAAAATACCTTAGATATGTAATAAATATAAAGACTAAATATATATTTATATATATTGAATTTATATTATAAGATGGAAAGAAATTCCAATATATAAATAAAAAATAAATAAAAACGAAATTGTTGTTATTTTTTTATTTTGAATTTTTATATTAGAATTCTAATATTATTAATATTCAAACACTATTTTAATTTTATTAATTTAATAAGTTTGTTATTTAAAAATAATAATTTTAATATTATGGATATTAGAAATTTTATCCATATTTATCCAACTTCTCCCATGGAAAAATATTACCCAAGCTATATCCTTCTTATATCCGACTTTATCTTATCTTGGACAAGGAATCAAACACAGATCCTGAATTTTATCCTAACTACCAATCTAATATAGCATTAATTCATTTTATTCTTCAAAATTACATACATAGGTGCTATAAAAGATGATGATAAATATAAAGCACAATTTATTTTTTCTATCATATGAAAGGTGACCAATGATAAATAAAATAATTTCTTGATTTTTTGTAGCTTATTTTGGGTCATGTAAAAGATAACCGAAAACAAATGAAATAATTTGCCCATTTTAAGCAATTTATGTCATGCAAGGAAATCGAATATAATGTTCTAATTATTTCAATAAGTTTTTTTTTGAAATTATGTTTCATATGTATTTTTTGAACGAGTAACAAATCAAAGACGAAGTTGAAGACATGATTATGAGCTAGAAAACAGTATCCTGGACACATCCAATACATGAAATGAGCAAACCGAATGCCAATTCGGTCAAATGACTCTGCTTATTCGATCCTAAATGATAATGTAATTATTTAAAAGAGATAAGTGTACTATAAGTCCTAAACTTTTTGCAAAAAATTATCATAGCAGTGCAATTGAGTTCTAAAACTTTCAAAAAGTGCAATCGAATCCTAAAATTTGTTATATTGATGTAATCAAATTCTTAAGTCAGCTCTGTCCTAATTGATGGTCGGAAAATGATTAATTGGCTTTTTTTATTCGTCTCTCTCTTCCCCTTTAATTATGCAAAAAAGGCACTATCTCGTGCAATGCCTCCAATTGAATTGGGAGTTGTTTGTGTTTGCCCCAAATTGAACCAAATAGCCCCAAATTGCTCTTCTTCGTCTAATTGCATGGATAGAGAGAAAGAGAATCGAAAGGAAAATCTTTCAAAATCAAGGACATTGCAATCGAAGAAATTCATTCCATTGGAGGTCGTTGGAATCTCCATCACATAGCGCTCGTTAAGTGCTCCTTTTGGCTTGGGAGGTATAAACAGTTGGCTTTGGAGAAAACCAACATCCATATCACGTTATATGTGACTATTGCCTTGCCATGTCATTTCCCCGTCGTGTTTGGATTTTAACCGCGATGTCATGCCGAATGTGAATATTATTGAGAAAGCGCCCCGATAAGTAGTCATGGCCACGGTTCGGAACCGACCGGTTCCGGTTCGTGGCCAAGTATGAACCGGATGGTTCCGGGCCGGTTCCGGTTCCGGTTCAGGTTCGGAACCGGTCGGTTCGGAACCGGTTCCGGGCCGGTTCATAATTTTTCTTTTCTGTTTTTTTCTTTTTCTTTTCCTTTTCTTTTTTTTTTCTTTTCTTCCTCCGCCAGCCATAGCCGGGGCCGGCGGAGGTCGCCGGCCTCAGGCGAGGCCGCCCTCGCCGGCGTCGGGCGAGGGCCGCCCTCGCCTGGGCTGGGCGAGGCCGGCCTCGCCTAGATCGGGGCGAGGGCTCGACCTTGCCGGCATCGGCGAGGCCGGCGAGGTCGAACCCTCGCCGGATCCGGCGAGGCTCAACCTCGCCGGCAACTGGCGAGGTCGAACCCTCGCCAGATCTGGCGAGGCTCAACCTCGCCGGCAACTGGCGAGGCTGGCCTCCCCTGAGGCCGGCGAGTTCGAACCCTCGCCAGATCTGGCGAGGCTCGACCTCGCCGGCGTCGGGCGAGGCCGACCTCGCCTGCAACCTGGCGAGGCCGGCCTCGCCCGACGCCGGCGAGGCTCGACCTCGCCTGCAACTGGCAAGGCCGGCCGCCCGACGCCGGCGAGGTCGAACCCTCGCTAGATCTGCAACTTCTTCTTCTTCTTTTTTTTTTTTGAACCGGGCCCGTAGGGCACGGGCCGGTTCCGGTTCCAAACCGCGGGCCCGGGTTTGACCGGGCCGGTTCCGGGCCGAAACCGGCCCGTGGCCATGACTACCGATAAGTTTCTCAATGCTAATGAAGTAGAAGTTG